GGCATCCCTGCACTGAAGCAGTGAAAGCCGGTCCAGCTGGTCATCGGGGTGCAGAACCAGGCTGCGGATGGCAGGCCTTGCTCACTGGCAATTCTGGAGCTTCCCATGCCGACCGGTAAGTCTTCCGTGTCGCTCCGCTCAGACCATTGGCTTCTGGCTGCGGGGTTGCCTCCCTCTGGAGCTGTCTTTCCCCGCTGCTTCCTCGCCCTCCCAGCGAAAGAACCCCAAAGAGCTGGAAGACGTCCTTTCTCCCACTTTCCGGGGGGCAGAAGCCAGGACGGCAGAGCAATCCATACCAGAGCTGGATGGGGGCAGGGTGGGGGCATGTGTTGCCTTAGGCTCCACTCGTCATTGAAGACCTGTTGCATGCATGCACACACACGCGCACATTTTACAGCTCCCAGTTTTTTCTTCTGTGAGGGAAACAGGTCCAGGTGGCTCTTTTAGTGTTTCATGTTGCCAATCTCTGACCTAGGTGCTAGGGATACTGGTTGTTTCTTAGCTTGCAGAATTTTTCAGAACTAAAAATAGTAACAAAAATTCATTCTTTCTATAGTTCCATTAGATTTGAAATTTTATTTATTTAATTACATTTTTAAAATCCCACCATTATTATTTTTATAGATAACTCAAAACAGCAAACACACCTAATACTCCTTCCTCCTCTTATTTTCCCCACACCAATAACCCTGTAAAGGCGAGTCAGCTGAGAAAAATGACAGGGCCAAAGTCACCTAACTGGCTTTCATACCTAAACTAGAACTGTATCCTGATTTCCAGTCTATAATCACTAGACCAAACTTGCTTTCATTGAAACAAAATATATTGCATTGTCTCACCTCAATGCTGACTAACTACAGCAGTATTACCCTACCTCCTGAACACATATCAAGCGTTATTTGCAGAAAAGGAATCCTAAAGTCTTGTTTTGTAGGATTAAATAGTGGGCATCACTGGAGATTTTTAAGAGGCTGGACAGTCACTTGTCTGAGATGGCATAGGTCCTCCTGCTTGAGCAGGGAGCTGGATTAGAAGACCTCCAGCTCTATTCTATTCAGTAACTTCTTTATATGTAGTCAAAATCGTAGGGAACAGTTTGGTCATCTTTTAAATTTTTGGGATATTACTGCTGATGTTAGATTGGTCAAAGAATCACAGATCTATTTCTGTTGTTTTATTGTACAAATCAGACACAGACTTCACATCTAATTACTTATCAACACAATTTTTTCTTTACTCAGATTCTTACATATCCTAAGAAACTCAATTCCTGGTAAGCATAGCTAGAGATGATGGAGCCACTTTAACAAAGAGTCCACCTTACACTATATAGTATAGAGATATCCTGATTATTTATATGCATGTTAATCTTATTTATTAAAGCAGATTTTCCACAAAGTTAGAGCAGACAATGAATATGGAAAGAGTGCATAATGAAAGTAAGAAATCTTTATGATAATCTAAATATGGCATCAATAGTCACCGGTTCATACTTGGGCTGGGACACAGTTGACTGGAAAAGATTAGACAAGCAAATAGAGCCAATTATATCTGGTATCTGAAGCCTACTTGATACCATATCATTCCTTGCATAAGGAATTAGAATCTAGAACTTTCTTAAATGTAATTGTCAAAAAATATCCTTATAACTTTCCCCTCTTAAATTCTATTTTTTAGAGTCTAACTTTAAGAGCAGATACTGCCTGTCCACTAATCATTCATTTGGCTGGAGATCAAAGTAAGAATGCTAAGAAACAGTTTGGAAAGTTACACAGATAGTCCTCGACTTATAATCATTCATTTAATGATCAATCAAAGTTACAACAGCACTGAAAAAAATGACTTATGACTAGTTTTCATTTCAACCATGTTATCATCTCTATGGTCAAGTTATTAAAATTCCAGTGCTCGGCAACTGGCATGTATTTATGATGTTTGCAGCATCTTGGGTTTATTTATTTATTTATTTATTTATGAGACTTATATGCCGCTTTAAGTGCAAGCACTCTCTAAGCGGTGTACATCAGTAAGCAATGTATATATATATTTACATTGCCCCCAACAATCTGGGTCCTCATTTTACCTACCCCGGAAGGATGGAAGGCTGAGTCAACCTTGAGCCGGTGAGATTTGAACCGCTGACCTGCTGAACAGTCAGCTAAAGTGGCCTGCAGTACTGCACCCTAACTGCTGCGCCACCTCAGCTCATGTGATCACCATCTGTAATTTCTCTGATTTCTGACAAGCAAAGTTAATGGGAGAAGCCAGATTCACTTAATAACACTATGATTCACTTAGCAACTGTAACAATTCACTTAATAATTATGGCAAAACAGTTTAAAAAGGGGTGCAATTCACTTAACAACTACTTGCTTAGTAATAGAAATTTTGGGCTCAATTGTGGTCATAAATGGAGGACTCCTATACCACACAAAGGATTGTTAAAAACAGTATCACATAAAATGTTTTAAATCTAAACTACTTATTGTGGCACACAAAATGCAAAATTTATCCACATACTAAAAATCTTGATTAAAAATCAATCTATTATATTTTTGATCCATACTCAATAACATAATTTCTATTTCATCAAAGTGAATTACAGAATACAGAATAATAAAGTTGGAAGGGACCTTTCAAATGGAACTTCTGTGCGAGCATGAGTGCCCGCCACTTCCACAGCCTTGTTCTGATCTGGAGTGTTGCCTATTCCTTCCAGCTTAGTGTCATTTGCAAATTAGATGAGTTCTCCTTTTATTCCCTCATCTAAGTCATTTATGAAGATATTGAAGAGTACTGGGCTTAAGACAGAATCTTGTGGTACCTCACTGCTTACTTCCATGTAGACGTAGTACCATTAAGGACTACTTGTTGAGTGTGATTTGTCAGCCAGTTACAAATCCATCTGGTGGTGAAGCTGTCTATCCTTCATTTTTCTAGTTTACCAAGAAGAAAATAATATAAAGTAATCTAATCTAAAGAATCTGAGCATATGCAATTAAAAGAAAATTAAAAACTAACAGTAAAGAAGCACTTTAGCTCCTTATTAGTTATGATAACCATCATCCCAAATAAATAATCCATAGAGAGGGAAAGAAGAAAACCATCAAGGTAGTGATGCATATTAATAAATATGGAGAAATTCATCATACATTTGTCAGTGTAAAGGGGAAGTGATTCAGCAAAGGAACCGCCATCAAAGAAATTAAAACCGGTACTTTTTTCTTTTTTTTTTTACCGTTTGTAACATTTTATTACATTATGGAATAAAATACAAAAATACAAAAGCAAATAGTAGACACAGTGGGGAGGAAAAAGGGGGGGAAATGAGGGGGTGAAGGAAAAATGAAAAGGCACTGACTTCCAACTTCCTCTGTTGCAGTAGAACAGTGGTTCTCAACCTTTTTAATGCCGCGACCACCAACTGGTCGTAAGTCGAGGACTAAACAACCGGTCGTAAGTTGAGGACTGCCCTACCGGTTGTAAGTCGAGGACTTTCCCTGCCCGGGAGCGCCATGCATGCGTGGTGCCGCCCCCTGCGCTGGCTGAGGCATAACTGGCAAGCGGCAGAGACGGAGCAGGCCGACCACTGGCTGGGCCACCAGCTGGCCCAGCCCAAGGGAGGTAAGGCACGCACCGGGCCCCACGTGCGCCAGCAACCCTCCCTGCGCCCGCTGGCCTCCCACCTCCCACCCCTGGCCCTCTTTTACTTACATTTTTAGTAGTTGCTCAGCAGGGAGGGGTGGAAACTTCCAGACAGCTCGCCTTCGCTGCAGACCACTTGCAGCACTGTTTGCAGAATGGGACTTTTGGCAGGCTCAGCAGGGCAGAGACAGCCTGGACAATTCCTACTGGCTTTTGAAAGCCAATAGAATTAGACTCTATTCAAGAGAGTCTATTCTATTGGCTTTCAAAAGGCAGACTGCGTTGTTTGGCGACCCCCATGAAATGGTCGTTCGACCCCAAATGGGGTCCCGACCCACAGGTTGAGAACCACTGCAGCAGAAGGAAACATTAACAATGAACCTCAACTTTTTACTTTTCCATAATATTATAAACTACCCATTACTATAACAATGAATGAATGTAACCAGTAAAACCCAAATCCTCCCCTCTTTTTAGTCATCAAGTTTTTGACACCTTGCTAAGCACTTGTGGTACTTTAATATTGTTACTTCCTAAAAGTGGTACAATGTGCGAAAAGGTTGAAAAACCCTGCTCTAGACTATTCCAGAATCTCTCTCTAGTATTCCCTATAGTGTTTTATGCAATCCATCTTTTTTACATGTCTGCCATTCCTTGGTTCCATTTCTAACTCTCATTCTTCCATAATTGATCCTTTGCTCCTCAGAGCTTAGCAGTTTCTCTCCTTGCTGCAATTTACCAAAGACTGATCATTCCATTCCAATTCTCTACAAATAAATTATACTTTTCCAGTATTAAATAATGTAATTACCCAAGAACCTAAGTTTAACCTAAAAATATGTTTCTGACTAAGCCCCAAATTGAAATTAATCAGTATGCCTGCAACTATAAACTACATTTTTTTTGATAATTAAAATACTGTCTCTCTAGGAAGATTTACCAGTTATAAATGCTAAATTTGATTATATTTCCCATGTTCTCTCACTTTAATGTTAGCATTATACTACAAACCCCATAATAAGTGTGATACAAATTATAAAAGTCTGTCATCTCATTTATGAAGAAAATGATAAATAAATCAAAATAATGAGTTACTTAAATACATTTTTCCACAAAAAATAGTTGTGGAATACTTGTAGAATTTCTAGAATAAGTAAAAATTATTCTACCAGAGCAATATATTTTAATACCTGTAAAACATATTCTGATAACATAAAGCATCGATGCTACTATGAATGACATATCTAGAATTATGCGACTTCAGTAACTGGTAGTGTATAAAATCAAGTATTTGAAACTGATCACAGCCTTCCTTGTTAAATATATTATTTCATTTAACATTGTAGGTTCTCTTTCTAGTACTTAAAATGCAAAAAGATAAGGATATGATAATAACCTCACAATTGAGAATACACAAATCAACAGGAAGATCAGATCAACAATGAATGAACAACCTCTAATTCATCAGAATCAGTGTTGCCTTACCATGAATTCTTCCAGTGTCCGATAGATTTTCCCACGGAAATCACAATAATTTTTATGTTCTTTGCACTGTGGACAGCATTGAGTAGTGTCAACATGAATACAGCGAGGATGGAGTCTAGGGCATTCTGGTTGAATGCACAACGGGCCTTCTTCAGTACAGAGACAAGGGCATGCAGAGGGTCCTGGAGTAAACCTCTCTCCAATTGCATAAACAAAGCCACTCTCATCCACACAGCCTTTTCCACGGTAGTCTGGATAAATATATTCCTCTGCGGGTTCGGATGTAGTGTCAGCAATAATATCAAAGAGGGAGAAATCTTCAGCAGCAGGAAGTTCCTCTTGAATACCTTTGATCTGATTATGAGTTTCGAGGTTCCCAAATTTATTATTTGTTGCTTGAATATTCATAACCTGTTTTTGCTTTGTCCAAGATTCTTTATTAGAGTAATTTCTGTTGCCTTTGTTTTTCCAGTCCCTAGTGCCTTCTTCTCTTCCATTCATAGTCATTTCATTCATTTTCCCTGGTCCATGATTCTGTCTTTCCTGGGCTAATGATTGATATTTTTTTTCCTCACTTGTTTTTATCTCCTGCTTGTCTTGAGCCTTGGATAGTTTTTGCAATGGTGTAGTAGAATTACACAGAGCAACCATCAGGCAGCATGTCACAAGAAGAGAACTAGAAAAAGCCCCAATTGCCATTGCAGTATTAATGGGCATCATCTAAGGCATCTCAGATGGACAAAACATATTTCATTCAAATCAAAGGATGTCGGCCAGTCAATACACAGTCCCTGGGAAGAGATGAGTTAGAATACTTCAAATAATTCTGCATTTTTATATAGAAAACAGTATATATAGTCTTTATCCAGTATGTGTAAAAATGAAAAGCAGGCCAAGAAAAACAATTTCTTAGAGATTCAGTTTCAAATTACAGCATAATTCTGGACTTGTGGAACACTCCTGAACAGACTGATGCTTTTCAACTTCAATTTCCCAATCTCAGAGTAGAATAAGAATCTACATCACTTAAGCAGCTAACTAAATTACTTTTAAAAAAGAAATAGGATGAGAAATTTGCCCTTTTAGTAATTATAAATTGCTGGGGAAGAAAATCAATATAATGCTTAGATGTCAATACAAAAAAATTAAAAACTACAGTGAGTGAAGAGGAAGTTGGGAAGAGGAAGGGGTAGAATTATTTCACAACAGTAATAAATTCTAACCAAGATAATGAGTTTACCTTTAAAATATTGGTTTTATTGTATGTATGTATGTGTGTGTGCACGTGTATGTTTGAGGGGGGGGAAGTAATCATTGCTTTTTTGCAAATTGTACATAAACGAAAAAAGAACAGAATTATCCAGAACATAGAACAATGTAGACATGTACTATAAATTCATCAATATCTCTGCTTGAGCATGTCTCTCTGCTAGTCAATGAGCAAAATTATTATTTTATTTGATATATATTTCACCCCACTATTCCTTGGTTCAAAAAGCATGTCTCTTTCTTGTAATAACCAATTATCTCAATAGATATTTTTAATAAATACCCATCTATAGGCTTATTCACTATTTTACATGATAGACGGGGCGTTGTCTTACCTGAATGTCTTTTCTCAGCATGACGATGGAGAATCCACCAATGGGTTTTGCTTGTCTTCTGCCCGTAGACTAAGTCAGCCAATTTTGCTCCACCTCTTCCTGGGACCTCCCTTCCCCAGTTCTCGACTAAGGTGAAAGTTGCTGATTATGATTCCGTTTGTTGGGTCAATCCTCTTCCCTGCACAGGACCTGACTGGCCCTAAGGGTGGGAGTGGATTCTCCATCGTCATGCTGAGAAAAGGTGTTCAGGTAAGACAGCGCCCCTTCTTTAGCATGACGAGTGGAGAATCCATCAATGGGACATACCAAAGCCTCATTCTCCCTGCGGGTGGGAAGCAGTATAGGCCTGTGTCCCACTTTCTGATACTACACACTGGAGGACCCTCCTGCCAAATGAGGCCTCTGCAGATGTGAACACTACACTAACTTGTAGTGTCTTATGAAGGGAGAAGATGATGCCCACGTCACCGCCCTACATATTTCCTCAATCAGTGCCTGAGTCGCTCACGCTGCTCAAGTGGCAGCACTGCAAGTGGAGTGTGCGGTGATTTGTCTGGGGACTACTAGTGACTGTCCCTGGTATGCCACTGCTATACACTTCCTGATCCATCTACCGATTGTGGATGTTGTGATTTTTTGATCTCTTGTGTGTGAGTGAAAGGAAACGAACAGGGCCTCCGATTTGTGGAAGGGTGCTGTTCGCTTAATGTATTGCCTTAGGGCCCTGCAAATGTCCAATTGTGCTCCAATTCATGGGAAAGTTGAGGGCAAAAATCTGGTAGCACCATCTCCTGTGTTCTGTGAAACAGGGAGTTAACCTTGGGAACAAAGGAGGGGTCCAAGCGTAGGACCACCCTGTCCATGTGGAAGGTACAGAGATCCTCTCTAACTGATAGTGATCTATTGTTGCCCTGTTCAGAGAATATGCCTGTTGATTTGCCTTTCCTGATATGTGCTCTGTCCTGAGGGAGGCTAGGTTGTTTTCGGCCGAGGTTCTCAGAAATTTGGCCTCGGTCATGAGGGCCCTGGACCGCGTGCCCCCATCGGTTGACATGCCACATTGTCCGTGAACACTAAGACGTGTTGATCCGCCACTGCATTGTGAAATTGACAGAGGGCCAGATGAATGGCTCTGAGCTCCAACCAGTTTATGTTGTTTTTAGATCCTCCTTTGATCATTGGCCCTGTGCCAATTTGGATTGTAGATGTGCTCCCCAACCGAATAGGCTGGCGTCTGGGGTCAGGGTAACTCAGACGGTCTCCTTGAACATGTGTCTCCTTGTCATCGCTGGGGACAACCACCACTTTAGCGAATTCAGGACTCCTGGTGGCACTTTTACCCTTCGGTTGGAGGTGCCGGTTCCCTCTTTCTGGAATGGGAGTAGGAACCATTGCAAGTCTCTGGAGTATAGCCGTGCCCACGGCACGATCACTATGCATGATATCATCTTTCATAGTAAGCTGGAGAGCATGGCCAGTGTGGTGGTCCGCCTTCTTCGGATTAGCCTGACCAGGGTTCGAATGCTGTTCCTGCATTCTCGAAAGAGGTAGACCTCGCATCTTAGCATGTCTATCACTGCTCCCAAATGAAGGAGAGGGGTCGATGGGACCATTTGACTCTTCTGAAAGTTTATTGAGAACCCATGGGCCTGAAGAACCTTTAGTGTCAGTGTTAGATCGGACTATGCCACTTGGATTGATGAGGAAAGGATGAGAATGTCGTCCAGGTAGCACTGGATGCACACTGGAGTTGTCTGCAGGTGTCCCTAAGGGTCACCAAAACCTTTGTGAAAACTCTGGGAGCCAAGGACAGGCTGAAGGAAAGGGCTCTGTATTAAAAATGCTGCCCTGCGAAGCAGAACCTGAGAAACCTTCAGTGTTCCAGCAGGATTGGGATGTGAAGGTAGGCCTCCTTCAGATCTATGGATGTCAGGAAATCTCCCTTTCTGACGCTTGCTAATATTGACTGAAGGGTCTGCATCTTGAACCTCCTGTATGCCAGGTGGGTGTTTAGATTTTTTAGATCTAGAATTGCTCTCCACCACCACCCCGAACTCTTTGGGAGTAAAAATAATATGGAGTAGAACCCCTGTCCCTGTTGCTCCTTCTGCACTGGCTCTATTGCCTGGATGTCCAGTAGGTGCAGGATGGCCTCCCTGAGGAGTCTCCTTTTGGTTGGATCCCTTGACAGCGGACAAGGAATGAATCGGTTTGGGGGTTTGGAGATGAATTCCAGTGAGAGGCCGAATCTGACAGTGTTTAAGATCCAAAGGTCCATGGTGGTGGCCTGCCATTTGTGTGTGAAGAGGGCCAGCCTGCCACCAATGAGAGAGTCCTCCCCACTGTCACTTGGATTTGCGAAAAGGATGACCCCCCCCCACTCCACGAAAGGGCCGCTTTGACTGGAATTGTTGCCTAAATCTCTCTCTGCTGCTTGTTCTATTGCCATCAGTCTGAACTGGGCTGAAAGAGTTCTGCTCTGGGCCTGCCTCAAATCGAAAAGACGGCCTGCAAGGGTAGGAAGAGACACTCCTTTCCGTTCTTTTTGACTGGTGGGCCAACACCTTGCGTTTATCCTTGTTTTCTATCAGAAAAGGATAAGGGCCTCAACAAAAAGCTTGCTGCCCTTGTGGGGTGCTGCTGCCAACCGCCACTTTGCTTTAATGTCAGCTCGCCACTGTTGGAGCCACAGCAGCCTACGTGCAGCTGTGTTGTATGCTATTGTCCTTGCAGAATAGTTCGCAAGGATGAATCTGCCAAGAATTTTATTTATTTATTTATTTATTTATTTATTTACGAGACTTATATACCGCTTTAAGTGCAAGCACTCTCTAAGCGGTGTACACCAGTAAGCAATGTATATATATATTTACATTGCCCCCAACAATCTGGGTCCTCATTTTACCTACCCCGGAAGGATGGAAGCCTGAGTCAACCTTGAGCCGGTGAGATTTGAACCGCTGACCTGCTGAACACAGTCAGCTAAAGTGGCCTTCCACTGCCGCCACTAACCTTCTCAAGTCCTGGTGGGTTCTCTCCTCTGAGGAGGTTCTCTCCTGGAGTTGGCGGAGCCAGAGTAACGCAGTCCTAGCAAAAAAGGAATTAGAAATATCTGCCTTGATTGCCCACACTGAGGCTTGGTGTGTCCTGTGGAAGGTGAGATCCGCCTTCTTATCCTCTGACTTCAGGGCCTCTGCTGCATCTCCAGTTACTGTGGATGGGGAGAAAAGCGCGACTAGAGGCTCATCCACTATCGGAACTTCTATCATTTCCGACAAGGCAGGATCTATGTTGAACAGCTTCTTGTCTGTTCCCCTCATCAGTAGGAAAGATCCCAGAGCCCTCATATTATTCTGAATTGAATAAAAAAGAGGGGGGGGGCAGGAAATAAATTGTTTTGTGTAGGTAGGTTGGGAAAACACCCTGTCGTTTGTGACCTGACTAGCTGAAAGTCCCTCTTGAGGCATCAAGGGTCTCTCAATTTTGGCCGTGCTGCTGGCCTTCTGAAGCAGGGACTTGAATAGAGTGGGATTAAATAGACCCATGAACGGTGGGGGGTCTGGGATATGTCATCATCCTCTGACAGTCCCTGGTCTGTCTGTTCATGATCCTTGGCAGGAGACCTCCTGCCTCTGGAAGATCGAGAAGGAATAATTGAATCCTGGTATACTGAGGCTTCCTCTTGAAAGAGATGGGAACAACCTCTTGAAGTTACAGATCCGGCCCTGGAACAATGATGTCTTGAAGAGGCCATAGCCTGAGTGACGGCCTGTGGTATCAAAGATTGTAAGTGTACCGATGACAAGGTTCCTTGGTTATCTGAGGTGCGAGGACCTGTCTCCATCCCTGGGCCATCGGACCTTTTGCTAAGGGGGGATTCAATTGCCTGTATTGCATCAGCCTCTGTTTCCAGAGGTTCCTGACTAGGTTTTATCGGGCCAAATATTTCCTCCTCTTTGTAAGTAGATGGAACTAGACCATCCTCTGCTGTGACTTGCCTCCTTTCAGCCCTAGAAAACTGTTTTTCCAGGGCCTGGTGTCTATGCTTGGCCTCCTTATCCACTGCCTTAGAAGGTCTCTTGCCAGAAATTGCTCTGGCTCTGATTCTGCCCACCGCCTCCTGGTTAGATGACCTTGGCCTTTTGCACCCAGGAGGGCTGATGGAAGAATCCTGTGGTGATTGGGCAGTGTCTGTGTCTGCCATTGGCAGAAAAGAGCTATCCCAGCTCAAGAACTGGGAGAAATCTCAATACGAGGCCCTGTGCAGGTTTAGGTCAGTGAACAATTGGATTCTGACCTTTTCCTGTGTCTGTCTCCCCTTTCCTTCTATAAAGAGGTATTAGCTTGATTGAATTGATTTCTTTGATTTTGATTTTTTTAATTATTTTTTTATTTAAAAGGCGTGTCTAAGAAAGTAGATGCTGCTTTGTGAATTGTCCTGAGCAAAAAGAGAAAGGGGCGAGCGATTCGAATGCTGCTCTCCCTTCCCTGCTCTGCAAACATGTGGAGGTAAGATGGCGACTGAGATTCTTCTGATTGCTCTCCGTGGCTCAGCTGTTTATCAGAGAGGCTGGCAAAACTCGATCTGCACCCACCTATTGGCTGGGCTCCCAGAAAAAGGCTGCGCGGTGAAATTAAACACTCCGCTGGCTAGTGAAGCGCTGAGGAAAACTGCGGGAGTCCCCGTGCTCTCCATGGCTCAGCTGATCTCCGGGGGAAGCCCTATGAGCCGTATAATTCTCTGAGACTCAGCTGGCTTCAGGGAAGACCGTGAAATTCTATTAGTTCCCCGTGGCTCAAAAAAACTTTCGGAAAAGCCTTGGGAGATCTAATAGCATTTGCGGATCAGCTGGCTTGTGGAAAATAAGTGGCTGGAAAAAAAAACTTAGCTGCTCCTCTGAGAGAAACCCAAGCAATCTCTATAGAGGGAGGGGGGTGCTGGGGGTATAGAAACAGCCTTCCCCTCGCCCTGGGACTCGCTCGCTGCTCGAGGAAAAATGGCGCCCCGGCTCTTTGTTCTGCCCGACGATCGTCTGGTTTTAAGAGCCTCACAGCAGCGCTGCAATCATCCAGCGAAGGGAATAAACGGCCATTCGTCCTTTGCTCCCTCCCCCTCCCCTCGAAAATGAATTAAAATGAATTAAAAATAGGACCTGATTCAAAGGAATTACTTCTGGAGCCAGATAATTCTATCTGCAAGGCTGAGACTAAGTCGAGAACTGGGGAAGGGAGGTCCCAGGAAGAGGCGGAGCAAAATTGGCTGACTTAAGTCTATGGGCAGAAGACAAGCAAAACCCATTGGTGGATTCTCCACTCATCATGCTGGAGAATGAACAATTCTACACAATTTCAAAATGTTCTCCTCAAAAACTCATTGTATGTTTTAAAATATATATATACTCAAAAATAATCATTTGAATCAATATTGACAATATTTTCTGCTCTATATTGCTGAACCTTATGCTATAGATTCTCAATGGACATTTAAGTTAATAAAGATTTTTTTAAAAAAAATCCATAAAAACCTTTTATTACAGAAAAATCCTATTGTCTAACATTCAAAAAAAAAGGAAGCAAACCTTATTACATATAAACAGATGCTGAGAAAAGGCAAGGAATCATTTTAAATAATCATAATAAATAGTATTACATTTAAGAATCTTATCTTCAATTTCTAAATTTCAGCATTATGTAGTATTGTGTGCTCAGAAATTAAACCTGTAGTTCCATAAACTTATTCCTTAAGCAATTTTATGCAAAAACAAAAGCTTAAAAGACAAAAATGTTTACTGCGGTGTGTAAACAGTTCCATATCTTGATGAAGTAAGTTCCATTGAGTCTTTCTTTTCAACAAATCTTTCAAATTGAGGTACTCAACTTTTCAAAGGTGAGAGGGTGTTGAGGAGAGATACCTTAGGGAAATTAAAGAGGAACATTCATGGAGTTGACTCTAAAATACTCCCCAGAATATGTTGTTCTTCCTAAATTTTGCACCTAAACATTGAAATAATCCATCAGATTTGATGGAAGATGAAACACTGCAATATATACAAGAGCACACAAGACTATAAAAAGCAACCACTTTGTTGAAGTTATTTAACATATGGAATATTATACACGGACTAGCAAAATACATTAATATTTCACTTAGATTAGTAAAACACACAAAAAATAAATGTTAAAAAGATCTATGTTCAAATACCAATGTCTAGGCCATTTGATGAAGTTAAATCTGGCTTTTGCAAGTGTCTGAGGAAATGAGATGTGTTTCTCAAAAGCTTATGCCTTGTAATAAAATGTGTTGTTCTGGAAAGGCTTTACCAGACTTCTTCTGATTTTTATCTGAGAACTAGGTACTGTATGTTGAATTTCATTATGATAAAAACAGGATAGAAAATCTAGCAAATAATATAAATCAAATGTTCATTATCTTACTCTCCGTGAAGAGTCCCCCCTCCATTTTGTATTCATCTTCATTATAAAGCACAATCGACAAGGCAATTATTTAAAAAAAAAACACAACCAAATACCTATTTCAAGGAAGCTTGGTGGTGAGCTAACAGACAGAGCCAAGGATAAGATGGAAAAACAATATGTATCAATGCAGTTACACGGATTGCACCTTAACGTAAATCAATTAAAGGAAATAACTGCCTATGATAGCCTTGCAGCAATAAGCTCCTTGGTTAAGCTTAGAGCTTTGCCTCAATCGCTGCACAAATACAACACACATAGACTAACTTTCTCGCTACCCTCCACCCCCTCCCCCCGAGTCCCCAATGCAAAAGTTCCCGCTGCTGCTGGGGCCCCAAAGGACAAGAAGAGCTCGTCCTCTCTTCACCTTACATTGCATAGCCTTTGCTAGGCAGATTTTTTCCTTCCCTTCATTCCAGACCGGTCAGCGATTGCTCCTCGGCTAGGGAAAGCAAGCAGCTCGCCTTTTGTCTCCCATCCTCCGTCCGGAAGGCAGAAAATCAGACCGGCGACTAAGGCCGCCACTCCCGCCCACTGCCCACTTCTCTTCGTTTAAGAAGTGAAGCCTCAACCCCAGTTACCCGAGCGCAAAGATGGGCTCCTCCCTGGCGTTTCACAATGCGATTTTCTCGGAGCACGCTTGTCCCCTCCTTCCTCGATCCGCGTAAAGGTAGCCTGAAGAGCACTTTCCTTCGCTTTGAATGGCTCCGTCCGTTTCGCAGTCGCTTGCCCGACGTCCGGAATTGCCGCCTGCTCTCGAAACGTAATTTGTTGCCCCATGGAAGAGTGATTTGCTAGGGTTGCCAGGGGTGAGAGAGCGCTTGCAAAAATGATGCCCGCAAACAGGCTTCGAGCTGCAATCACTGTGAGTTCTTTGTCGCCTGCTCTAGTTCCCGCTTTCGTGGCGGGAGAAGGTTTATTTCTGGCCGGGGATTGATGGCGATGATGAAATCGCCGTCTAATTTATACAGCGCTTTGCACATTAGATATGACGAGCAGAAGGAAATGTGAGAAACGCGGGAGCGCGGACAATGGCGTTTCTTTTTTAAAAAAAAAAACAAGTTTTATTGATTTTTTTTGTTTTTACAACAAGGTGCTTGAGAAACAACGTGGTGATAGGGTACTCAATCATCCAAAAACAAAATCATACATATATAACTCAGGTTAAATCATTAGGAACTCCCTATTTCCCTCAAATAATACAATATATTCAAATTAATGTATTTTTCAATAAAATTCAATCAATCAGAACAATCATCAATAACATTTCATCTGTATAAATCCAAATTCTGTTTTTAAGCTTTACTATTTACAATTCCCATATTCCAATTTGGCTTTTAAATAAACATATTAATACTTCAGGTGTCCCTCCTTTCCCTTTTTCCTTAGCATAATCCTTATCTATAAAATACACATATTATTTCAACCATAACATTCTTATATTTTCTATTTGGGAGTATATATAACAGCTTCTAATGGTAAATTATATAAGAATAATTATGAATTATTATGGGCAAAAGTACAAAAGGATCTAAATGATTGGAAAAAGTTGCAATAGTCGTTGTTGGGGAGAATATCAGTGGTAAAAACGAATGTTCTACTCTTGTGGAAAAATAAAGCCTTAAAAAAATAAAGGGCTTTTACGAAATTCGGAAGGTGAAAGAGAGATTTTATTTTTGCGCAAAAAGGTTCAGAAGTGACTTAACAATCAGCAAATTTCTGAACAAGGGGGAGGGTCTAAACTAAAGCTTTATAGGTTTCTTTCTCTCAGGAACAAAGGAAGCATAGATGGAATCTTACATTGTATATGGAATCTACTTTTGTGTAACATTCAGATAGTTTCTCACACGTTAGCTCCATTTCTCATGGAAATACAATGAAGGCAGTTTTTACTTTTATACAATGTTTCTAAATATGCATTAGGTCATTCACGTACTGTTAATACAGCTTTTGGCTAACACAGCTTTCTTTCAGAGATTATGCAGATACATGATTTTTGCTTTTAGTGATTTTTCATTATTATTATTATTATTTTACTTTATTCTTCTTTATTCTATGTTATTCTATTTCTTTCCCACTTTACTCCCCCCTTTTGGAAGTTTTCCAGCTTAAACTTCCATTATTCTACCTCTGATTCCGGATTTCCTGAAGGTACCATTTTATATTCCCATAAGGCTAACGTTGTTTCATGTTTTGCTGTTAATTGGGCTGTACTTTCTGAGATCCTCCGAATCATGGCTATAAGACAGGGGATCAAGCAAGGAATTAAAATACACCCTAGAATTAACAAAACTTGCAGGCCTACAAACCTTCATAGTCATAGCAGCCTTGTTAATTCCAAGATCCATAGCAGTGGTCTCATTGGTTCCAGACCACCAGTTACCATCTTCCCATGTCCCTATGCATAGGAGGTCACCTACTGCTACACAAGATTCTGTTTTGTTTCTTGAGTAACATACATGTCCTACCAAGTTGGACCACCACCATCTTTCCCACTTGTATAGGTTAAATTATTATTTTTAGACATTTCTAGTACCTTGGTATAATTTAACTCTTTTGCCTCCCACGGCCACCTTTCTCCCATGTTTGTTCCACCACACACAAAACAGTTAGACACGCCTAAAGTATGGGCAATGTCTTCTGCTAACTTAACAAAGGTATTGGTTACATGTCTGGATACTTCAGGAATATGTAGGCTCTCCATTTCCTCATAATATGACCAAAATAATGATTTTTGTTCTGGTCTTTTGGTTGCAGTTATAATTTTGACTTCTATTTCTGACATTGGGTCATAGCCATTTGTATCTATTCCTATCCCAAACATCCATTTCTTACTTTCCCACCTATTTTGTTCCAGGAACCAACTGCCATTCTTGACTGTGAGAGTCACCAAATTACAGTTATCCGTTCCACAGGAATTTGCTTTTGTTTCATTCTTTTCAAACAAGATGTGGTCTATCTCTTTTGGGTCTTGGGTATGCCACTTAATACATGACCACCACTTACATTTGACCGCACATCCATCTGGTGGGCACAAGTACTTATGTTTTGGGATAAAGTTGTGAATATTACTGATCCCTCCGCAACCATATGTTGGAGTCCAATAATTAGCTGCTTTGCAAACATCAAAGGTGACGCTAAAACTGGAGTGTGGATTGGATTTCCATTGGGAGATCCCTAAGAGTGCCTGGTCCTTATAGCTAGTTCTTGTTCTATGTGTTTTGATTTGTAAGGCCCAATGATCAGGATCAGACTTCGGGTTATAACACTGATATTGGACACCTTTTCTACAAAATTTATATGTAGTTCTATTGTATGTACAAGAGTCAGGAGAACTATCTTGGCACCCTTCTGGTTTAACTGTATGGTAAATCAAAGTCTTGGTTATCTGGTTTCCTTGTTTTGTAGTTTTGATACAGTTTTGACAACCTTGGTTTCCCTGTGTTTCTGCTCTTTCTTGGTGTGTGCTACTCTATAATTCTTTATTAGAGGGTTTCTGCATTATGACCTCTCATGTAGCCATTGTACTGATTTGTGTAGGAATGTGTGTGCATATTAAATAATTAACAAATATTACGAGCTGTAGAATCCTCATATCTTCCACCGTGCGTAGAGAGACAGCTTCCTGGGGTGTCTCAGCAAGGTTGTTGATCACACCGTGTCTTGGGAACCCGTTGCTGTATTTCTTGTAAATTTCAACACCAAAGGCTTGTCAGTCTTGTCCACCTTGTAGGTCACCAGATCTGCAGCTGCAGCTGCTTTCACTCTACTCCAGTGGATCCAAGATTTTCCTTCCAGCGTTTTCACTGCCAAAGGAGAACACATGACAACAGTATACGGTCCTTTCCATCTTGGGCACAAGGGATCTGATTTCCAGTGCTTTACCCACACTCTATCTCCTGGCTTAACTAGGCAACTGTGCTGACTCAACAGTAGAAGTGTGAGAAACTATTGCGTAACCAGAGTATCTATATCCTTTATCCATAAAGCTAGAACCATCAGTAAACCATTGATAGTCTGGATTATGCAAGGGTTGGTCTGTAAGGTCAGGTCTGCAAGAATATTGTAGTTCTATTGTTTGCATGCAGTCATGAACAGGTTTGGTTGAATCAGGAATTGGCATTAGAGTTGCTGGGTTTAAAGTTGAACATTGTTGCAGTGTAACTTGTGGGTTTTCTAATAAAAGAGCCTGTATTTTATGCATTCGTTGATTACTTATCCATAAATGTCCTTTATTATCAATGATTGTCTGCAAGGCATGACTAGTATAAACAGTCACTGGAGCTGAAAAGGTTAACTTGTTTGCCTCCTGCAGTAATAGCATAACTGCTGCTAGGATTTTTAAACATTGGGACCAGCCTTGTGAAGAAATGTCCAGGTGTTTTGACAGATAAGCGACAGGGCGGTTCCAACTTCCCTGTTTTTGGGTAAGGACCCCTAAAGCTACATTTTGTCTTACATCCACATAAAGTGAAAATGGCTTAGATATATTAGGTAGTCCTAGGGCAGGGGCTGTGGTGAGAGCCTGTTGCAATTGTCTCATTGCTTGGGTTTGTTCCTCTTGCCACAAAAGAGGTTCTTTTTCTGGTCCCCTTAAAGCTTGGTACAATGGTTTAGTTGTGAGAGCGAAGTTAGGAATCCAAATTCTACAGAAGCCTGTTAAAGTGGCACCTGGGAAAACACTAATGATCCGACAAAGAATGTGGGTAAAAAGCAGATGGCCCACCAAAGAATGTGTATGAAAGGGAGGTTTGTTTTACTTACAAGACAGCTCTTAAATTTAGGATGGCCAGACATCCTGTTCCCAGCTCTGCACATGATATATTACTAACTGCCTGTCACATGGTGTAACTAAACTGCTTAACACTTGATATATTGCTGATTGCTAAAAACATTCCAATGTAAACGAGGAGCTATCGATTATAGATCTGTCTAGTAGTTTTCCTATGTTAGAAAAGGACCCATAGAATGTGGTATGGAATGTGACCTGCTCAGGAAATAACCCCCGCCTGAAGGATTATAAAAATGGTCATCAATGTACAGCCTGTGTTCAGAATCTTTAGCCACGATGGCTCTCTGAACCTGCGCAATAAACTTCCCTTTCCTGGAAAGAGCTGACTCAAGTCTTTCAATTCTACAACATTTTCTGGTGCATTGGCCGGGAAAAGCTTGAGTGAGGCGATATTTCGCTGAGGACGGCTTGACCCTTCGGATCTGCTGGTAAGCCATCTCTGAACAAGTCTCCAGGCGCCATGGGGGTGTGTTTCCTCCAGGAGACAGCTGTGGCTTCTCAGCAGAGCCGACAGTACTGAAGGCCAGTCCAAGAACCCTTTGGGAAAGGAAAGGAAGTCTGAACCAACTCCTGGCCAGGAGGGGTGTAACTACAAGGCAGGCGAGTATGTGTTTAAAGTAATGGTACCTATCTCATTTGAAGATAGAAGAGGGGGCCTGATCACTCCCCTGGACTCGGGGCGGCAATCCTAATGAAGTCCGTGTTAGGTTGTGTGGGTGGTTAAGCCAGTGCATTCCCTACTAGTGACCGCCGGCGCTGTAGGTCATTGGCAGTGTGTTAGGAGGGGGGGGCGTAGTATGGATGTGGGGTGGCCCCCAGAGGGGACTTTTAAGAAAACTATCCTAACCAATTTCAGTATATAGATCAGTGGGGGGATGCAGTAGCAGGACGAGCTGATGAGTTATTGCAATGTCAGGCTGAAATGGTTCATTTGTGTGTGGCTAGACCCAAAGGAAAAAAAGCTTCAAGTACAAACTAAAAGAGTGAAAGATGTGAAGATTTCAGAAACTAAGGTGTCAGATGCTAAGAAGGA